AGCGCGAAGATTACGTGCATATTGAGGAAACGATGAATGGTTTTCAAGCGAAAGTCAAGTAAAAGACCGCTTCTTAAACCAGAGAAGCACTGTCACTGTTAGTTTTACTTTTCTTTTTGTTTTCATTTTTGAAAAACTTATCTTTGCTGTTTACCTTAAGCTATGGAGGCTCTCTTTAATTAATTAATTAATTAATTTATTTGATTCCTCAGTGTTAGCTAAACGTTCTGTAATTTATTAGTCGGTATATAATACAGCATGTGGTGTGTGCCATGCCTCATCTTATTAGTTTTTGTTAATAAACGTTTTGTAAGCTAGTTTGTCATTTGTATCTTACCGATTTATTGTTGTTGTGCTTTTTAATTAAGAATAACAATGAATCCATATTTTGTTTTAGTCTTAAAAAAATGAAAGGTGTGTAGATGTATTTAAGCAAATCAGTGACAATAAGATTGCGAATTCGAAAGTGAAAGCATCCGAAAGCCCGCGGCTTAACACAGCAAAAGAGAAATTCCCATTCACAAAATTCAAATCACAAATAATACTACTGATGATAAAGAACGGCTTGAATGTTAACCACTTTCGTATCTATAAACTATGATAAAGCATGCATTGATTAATCCCATGTTGTAGTGTATGTAGTACAGTGTATGTACTGTACTGTAATTGGCACTGTCTGCTTTATTTTTCCATTTGCTATGCTTGAGCTCGAATGCTTTTGTTCTTTATGTACAAACCCGATTCCAAAAAAGTTGGGACACTGTACAAATTGTGAATAAAAACAGAATGCAATGATGTGGAAGTTTCAAATTTCAATATTTTATTCAGAATACAACATAGATGACATATCAAATGTTTAAACTGAGAAAATTTATCATTTTAAGGGAAAAATAAGTTGATTTTAAATTTCATGGCATCAACACATCTCAAAAAAGTTGGGACAAGGCCATGTTTACCACTGTGTGGCATCCCCTCTTCTTTTTATAACAGTCTGCAAACGTCTGGGGACTGAGGAGACAAGTTGCTCAAGTTTAGGAATAGGAATGTTGTCCCATTCTTGTCTAATACAGGCTTCTAGTTGCTCAAATGTCTTAGGTCTTCTTTGTCGCATCTTCCTCTTTATGATGAGCCAAATGTTTTCTATGGGTGAAAGATATGGACTGCAGGCTGGCCATTTCAGTACCCGGATCCTTCTACGCAGCCATGATGTTGTAATTAAATGCAGTATGTGGTCTGGCATTGTCATGTTGGAAAATGCAAGGTCTTCCCTGAAAGAGACGACGTCTGAATGGGAGCATATGTTGTTCTAGAACTTGGATATACCTTTCAGCATTGATGGTGCCTTTCCAGATGTGTAAGCTGCCCATGCCACACGCACTCATGCAACCCCATACCATCAGAGATGCAGGCTTCTGAACGGAGCGCTGATAACAACTTGGGTTGTCCTTGTCCTCTTTAGTCCGGATGACATGGCGTCCCAGTTTTCCAAAAAGAACTTCAAATTTTGATTCGTCTGACCACAGAACAGTTTTCCACTTTGCCACAGTCCATTTTAAATGAGCCTTGGCCCAGAGAAAACGCCTGCGCTTCTGGATCATGTTTAGATATGGCTTCTTTTTTGACCTATAGAGTTTTAGCCGGCAACGGCGAATGGCACGGTGGATTGTGTTCACCGACAATGTTTTCTGGAAGTATTCCTGAGCCCATGTTGTGATTTCCATTACAGTAGCATTCCTGTATGTGATGCAGTGCCGTCTAAGGGCCCGAAGATCACGGGCATCCAGTATGGTTTTCCGGCCTTGACCCTTACGCACAGAGATTGTTCCAGATTCTCTGAATCTTTGGATGATATTATGCACTGTAGATGATGATAACTTCAAACTCTTTGCAATTTTTCTCTGAGAAACTCCTTTCTGATATTGCTCCACTATTTTTCGCCGCAGCATTGGGGGAATTGGTGATCCTCTGCCCATCTTGACTTCTGAGAGACACTGCCACTCTGAGAGGCTCTTTTTATACCCAATCATGTTGCCAATTGACCTAATAAGTTGCAAATTGGTCCTCCAGCTGTTCCTTATATGTACATTCATGCAACATGAGCAGTTTTTAATCTAAATTAGATTGTATAATTTCGAAATTTGAAGCAAAAACAGAATGCTTTGACTTCAGTTTTGTGAAACTATGCATAAAAAATATCTGCATGAAACAGAAACAGCAGACGAGCTGAACGAGACGCAGATTCACTCTCTGCCAGCAGGTGGCGCTTAAAGCTTTTCCTTGGTTTCCGTTGTAAACAAAGCAGAGCTGCACATATGAACTTTAATATGCAGGGCTCCAGACTGCGACCATTTTTTCTGCCTGTGCGACTAAATTTTGTGTGCAGTTGCGCTGGCGCGACCACCGCATTGGTCAACTCATAAGCACTGCAATTTCTGTTGCATATGAGAAACATCAAAGGGCAAACGAAAGCATAATGAAACAGTGCTTAGAGAGTATACCTACTTGCCGCGTCAGCACGAGCGCGAAGATTACGTGCATATTGAGGAAACGATGAATGGTTTTCAAGCGAAAGTCAAGTAAAAGACCGCTTCTTAAACCAGAGAAGCACTGTCACTGTTAGTTTTACTTTTCTTTTTGTTTTCATTTTTGAAAAACTTATCTTTGCTGTTTACCTTAAGCTATGGAGGCTCTCTTTAATTAATTAATTAATTAATTTATTTGATTCCTCAGTGTTAGCTAAACGTTCTGTAATTTATTAGTCGGTATATAATACAGCATGTGGTGTGTGCCATGCCTCATCTTATTAGTTTTTGTTAATAAACGTTTTGTAAGCTAGTTTGTCATTTGTATCTTACCGATTTATTGTTGTTGTGCTTTTTAATTAAGAATAACAATGAATCCATATTTTGTTTTAGTCTTAAAAAAATGAAAGGTGTGTAGATGTATTTAAGCAAATCAGTGACAATAAGATTGCGAATTCGAAAGTGAAAGCATCCGAAAGCCCGCGGCTTAACACAGCAAAAGAGAAACTCCCATTCACAAAATTCAAATCACAAATAATACTACTGATGATAAAGAACGGCTTGAATGCTAACCACTTTTGTTTCCATATAACTATAAACTATGATAAAATTTCATCAGTATGCATTGAATAATCCCATGTTGTAGCGCAAAAAAAAAAATATATATATTGCGACCAAATCATGTGCTCGTGCGACCAGCTGAGAAAGTTAGTTGCAAAAGAGCGACCAGTGGGAAGAATGAATCTGGAGCCCTGATATGCATTATACAGTGGCAAGAGGAAAAGAAAAATACCATCGAAAGACCGTAAGTTCCCCTCAGACATGCATTCATATAAACTTTTACCCCTAACTGAATCGCAATTTGTTTAGCATCTCAGCCGATTTGAATCGTCACATATTTAAATCGATTTTCAACCGGCTCGCGGTTAATCATTACATCCCTATCTGTTAATATATCTTTGTTTTTCCAGTTAGGTCAATAACTCTTAAACACCACAGAAACATTGTGCAATGTATACTTGCACCCACATTCCTTAGAGGCTATGTAAGTGAAGACTGCAGATCCGTAAACCTGCTGCGTTTTTGTCTTTGTGGTCATTCAGTCATTGCACCAGAAGCGTGTGGGTTGGCCAGTGTATTGACAAAGGTTTGTGTGACTTAAACTGACGGCTGCTGTGGGGAATGTCTCTGCAGACCATGTCCTCGCATTTCAGAGGCACTTTTACTGGTTTGAGGAGGTTCACGTACTCTCTCATTATGTGGGATGAGTCTGGGCTTTGAGTGAGTCAGTGAGATGCTTGGCCTTGAAGATGACTTATCTTCAAGGCTAGGCTAATGTGGGGTCTGGCATGCTTTACTTAATGATTTGCAGGCCCAAATAATTTTAATTATTTGTGATTGGATGTTCAATGCCCTCTTGCTTCAGATATTCAAAGCCTTTATCCTATTACAGAGTCACTCCAGTATATGCTAATGGCAGCTGAGAAATTACAGAGACCTTTTGTTGGAATCTGAATTGTGCGTTAGATGCAAATCAACTCGCAAGACAGCTGTCAGTCAGGGGTGGGATGCACCCTCACACAGGGGTGAGCCACCAATGACCTCTAAACAGGGTTTACCATCCAAATTGACAGAATAATCAGTGTATTTTTATTAATTCATACATAGCTATCAAGAGGGGTTTTTAACTTCATTTCTCCTAAAGATGGGAAAAGGGTCTCTGTGCCTGGCTCTTCAGGTCTGTCAGTAAAATGCACAGAATAGTAAAGGTCACCCAACTGCAAGCGTGACTGCTTAATGGAAAAAATAGATCAGCAAAAGATCTAGAGAAACAAACGATGGAGGGTAGGCCCCAGTGATTCAAAAGTTTAACAACAAGTCAGCCAACACAAGCATGCTGCTCGGATGCTGAATAGATCTACTGAAGGAATCGTCATGACTTTCATTGTTTTATTCTGGTACATTTCATTCTTCTATGCTTGTGCATTAGAGTCATACTGCATCTTTACACAGTTATTGTTATCAAAGCTGAAGATGCGACAAAGAAAGTCTCAGGGTTGAAATCGAACAAGTAGGAGGTTGTTTCAGTGTTTGGAGTGCAAAGTCAAGACAAGTATTCTGTATTTCTTGCCTTGTTTTCCAGGGGTCAGAGAGCCCCTTGGCTCAACTTCCATTCTGGGTACTCCTAAAATGGGCAAGCCTTTCCGGTCCAGCCTTTCAAACAATTAGCTATTATGTGGCTGTGTGGCGAGTGGGTCTGCATCCTGTTTCTATGGCTGATTTTTCAGGCCTGGGGCCAGACAGTAGTTAGTGTTTCGTGGGTGTGCTGAATGGTAGAGTGTTTTGTGTGTGTGCGCCTTTTGTATACTTCTGCTTATTCATAAAAAGGCATTCAGTCATGTTGCCAAATTCTTTTCCAGTTTAGAGCAGTGCAAAGGGAATTACTAAAGCCACCCCCTCTTCATTTCCTGTTCACAGGTCAGTGACTTCCTGTCTGGACGGTCTCCTTTAACCCTGGCTCTGCGAGTAGGCGATCATATGATGTTTGTCCAACTGCAGTTGGCAGCTCAGCAATCGGGTGGCCCACAGTTACAGCATCGACATCTCATATCACGTGGGAGTTCAGAGGGCACGGCAGGACAGTCTCATGCAGCCTCAGGCTCTGCCTCTGGGATGGCAAGGGTTTCACACAACCCTCACCCACATCACCCACACCCACATCCTCATCGTCCAAACACAACACTCCCATCTAACCCAGCAGCCTTCCCACCGTCCCCCTCTATCCCATCTGTTCCTCCCATGTACACCACCCCAGCCTCAGGGCACTGTAGCCCTCCACCACACCCCTCTCAACTCCCAGGAAGTTTTCTTCACTCCCAGCAGCCATCTTCAGCCTGTCCCACCTCTCCAAGCAGCCCTAGCCCTGCAGCTTCCTGTCCAGAGGTTAGTCACTGTTTGTCATACATTATCCAATTCAGTAATTTTGTATAATAATCGTGATATATTACGTTTATCAATTAAATTGGTAAGATGTACAAACTATATTTACGGTCGATCTCTGGTCCATGTCTTGCACAGACCAACTGCCCAGCAAAGACGTCTGGCAATTGTAACACTCCCTCACGATCCCGTAAACCAGGCGCTATCATCGAAAGTTTTGTGAACCATGCTCCTGGAGTTTTTTCTGGGACATTTTCAGGTACAACTTCTCAATAAGTTTAATATTTGATAGGCTCAGCATATGACCGTTTGATCTATATATCTGTAATTTATATCTAATTTCTATATTGTTTTTTCTTTCCGAAGGCACTTTGCATCCCAACTGTCAGGACAGCACCGGACGTCCTAGGCGAGACATATGCACCATCCTTCAAATCTTGAATGACCTTTTAAGTGCCACTCGGCATTACCAGGGCATGCCACCGTCGCTCACGCAGCTCCGTTACCAGACCCAGTGCAACAGCCCCAGCTCACCAACACCGTCGCCACCGCCTTCACCTCCCCACACCCCCGGACTAAGCGGCCTGCCTGCCACAGTGCCCTCTGAGACCCAGCCCACCCTCCACCCACTGGTGCAGTGTCAGAGCCAGATCCGCATGTGCAAGCCTCCTGGTAAGTTGTATTGCATTTTCCAGAAATTATGCAGTGATGTATTTCCTAGAGCATTTACTGTAGCCAGTAGTATTTAGGATCTAGCCAATAGTTTCAAGATTCATATTCAAGGTAGTGTTTATGTAGTTTCAGAGGGTCCAAGAAAAGAGTGCAAGGATTAAAAAAAGTGAAGATGTTAGAGAGGGGGAGGAAAAACTAGGCTTGTTCTTTCAGGCCCTGGTAGTCATGCTTCAGCAGCCACAGCATGTCTGGCTTTGTCTCTGTGCTGCCGGTGTCCTCTTTCCTCTGAGAGGCAAATAATGGGGGTGGACTACTCTGTTACCAAGAGGAAAGAGGCAGAGAGCCAGAGCGAGAGAGATAACGAAGCGAGATAGCACTCACAGACGTGTGGCAGGTACCCCGCTCTGTCTGGTAAAAACTGATTATCTGGGGCAGCTCGCTTCAGCGCTGAGGAGGAAATTGAACTGCTCTGTCATGAAACACCACTGTTGGAGAGTACAGAGATAATGAAGAAATATCTTCCCAGCACTGTTCAAAGCACAGGCCTGTTATCAATCTAGACTAGATTAAAAGCATACCAAGCTAACGCCGTACAACATGAAAACATATCATCAACTACTGGGGTGGAATAACTTTGGTCACTCGATTTTCGCAAAGGGTTAGGAAATCCTACATGTTTTTTTGAAGCGATACATACTTTTCCTGTGTGATATCCCCTCTTCCGCTTGCATAATGCTCCATCATTGGCCTTTATACTTCTCCCACATTGAAAGTAAATGGGCCATCATACTGGTTTCCACTCTTGCTTGAATGCAAAATCCATCCCAGCAGTCAGGGCCAGGGCTAGTCAATGGACACTTGTTTTCCGAGCAGCGTTTAAATAGAGATTCACTCAAGAAATATGAGCTCCAAGAGAATGCTCATTGTGTTTGAAAGTCAGCAAGAGGAGGCAGAGGGAAAATACCAAGAGTCCATTCATAAAATTGTTGTTTATATCCAGCCAGTGACTGCCCACTGATTAATTGGCGCTTCCTCTTGGGCAAGATGGAAAAACGGGAAGGGTGCTGTGGCTATTTTCTGGATAAAACCACCTTGCATGTCAACAACAAGATTTAGTTGTGAGATTGCTAGATAGCTGTCTTGAGCTCTTTAAGACCTATATGCTTTGGCACCTGGTGACCAACTTGCCTACATGGGACAGACAGTATCTTTCATGACCCCTTTGACATGTCACATATTTTTAGCAGCTGTCTACTTGATGTGATTTCAGACCAAACAAACCCGATATCCCCACCATACTCGTTTAGACATCCATCTATGCACACTGTTCTTGGATTCTTGTAGACATTTGACTTTGACAGATTGTAGTCAGTATTTGCAGGGAGGTTGGGGAGGAGATGGGGGATGGAGAGCTGAAGGAACGAAGAGGGTCGCCATTCTTGACTTAAATTCCTGTGCTCGCTAGGGTCTTTCAGCCCACTTTGCCAACTGCAGGCAACCCCTATGTTTGCCCTAGTGTGCTCTAATACTGCAGTGGTCCACCAGCCTTGCCTTTTGTAGATGAAGTGAATGAATGAAAGCCTGTAAGGTAAAACTTGGGGATGGCCTTTAGATTTGGTATTGCCTGGACAATTCGCTAGAGGGAGGGAAGGGGGGCCAAACGGTTCTTAAAATGGGAGGGGAGGATGGTGCAGGAATGCTTTCACCCCTCAACGTTCTGCATCTGTCAACTCAGGTTAGTTTAGTTTGGGCTGTGCAAGAACGTCAGGGTGGAGCTGTATTTTAGCAGAGTGAAAAAGAAAAAACAAGGAAGGGTGCTCAAATTCCTTCCCTTGCTCATTTAATCCGACCGAAAGCAAATGCTCCCGGCTGCTGTGTACATACTGCGGCAATGTGAAATATCAAGATCTCAGTCCTCTTTGTCCTGGCCTCCCTGGTGCTTAAACACTGCCAAATTCTTTTCCTAACCCAAAAGAGACAGTTTTGCTTCTGTGCAGATTGCTTGATCAAGTGCCCCAGGCCTCTCACCATGTCACAACAGTGCTCAAACCTGCCCAGCTCAACCGGGGGTTAAATAATTAATTCCCCCTCCTTGCTCACTGCCAACAAGCATGTAAGAAACCCCCCAGGCCGACTATCCTTAGATGCTCATCAGGCGGGGGCCGTGGCAGACCATATCCGATGCCTTTTATTGCTCCTAATATGCAAATTGTGGTCATTTGAGACCACAGCTCCCTGCAGGGTCATTGGTGCCGTCGTATCAGAAAAGCAATGGAGATGTCAGTATTTGACCGCTCCCCTGGTTTAGTTCTTGCTAGGGGTGCAGATGGCTGAACACAATGCTTGTCCTGTGGTGTGCACCCACTCCGAGCTCCTCCCAACCCAGAGGCAACACTGGCACCTGTCCCACCTCTTTGGGAGTTAGCTACAGCTGGCTTATAGAATTTAAAAGAAAGGAAGGTTTTTTGTTTTTATTTTGATATCAGGACAGTTTGATATTTATTGGTTTTTCTCTTTTTTCAGTTTTTACTTTAATGCCTCCAAAAATACATCCAAATAAATTTTAATTCCAAAATTAAAAACCTGCTCATCATAGAGAAACTTGTTGTAGGTGTGAATTGCATTTTAAATGTATTTTTGGTAAATGAATAGATCTGGATGAAAAATAAGTATTACATGCCAAAGTTTGATGTCTGACACTCTGTGACATACTTTTGTGTGACTTCCTCCTCCACTGCCAAGACATCTCCCCTTGATGCAGAGTGATTTCAGCACCCAGACTCGAAAAGATCACAGGAATTATCAAGGCAAACAAACAAACAAGTCAAAGACAAGTGTTAATTAAGCTGATCTTTAATGGATCAATGGCAAAAGGGAAGCTTGCAGAGACTGTCTGATCACTGTGGTGTGGGCTGACACATTGGGTTGAGCTTAATGTTTACCCAAAACCCTGCTCAACTGACCTAATACCTGCAGACAGGCCAACAGCCTCATCGATTGGGTAAAAATCCTCCCTCCATTGCACTCCCTCTCTCCTTATTCTAAATCCTCCTCCTTTCCATTTTCCCCCTTGCGTGGCCATCAGCACTTGGTCTGAATCAATACATTGTCATACATCAGCTCATTCCCTTCAAAAAGCATAAGACAAGTGCAACATCCCAGCTTTTGTTTGCCAGTACACTGCTACTTTTTAGATTCCAGAGGGATTTTTTGTGTGTAATCTCTTCCACCCTCTGTGGCATGTTCTCATTTGCCTCTTTCTCTCTTTTTCTATGTTCCTCTGAGGCCTCCGTCATGAGGCCGTATTGAGGAGGAGGGGCGTGGGTGGATGCGGGCGCTGGGGGGAGGGGGGTAGAAAGGAAGGCCAGGTGTATATATCATGTGCGGGCCCGAACAGCTGTGCGGCAGGAGGCAGGGCTGGGGTTGTTTTGTTCTTTCCTCCCCCCATTCCTTTCCCCTGAGGCTCGGGCAGCTCGTCACAAGCCTTTTTTGCCCCAACCCCCCTAATTTGAGCCGCAGGACTGAGAATGTCGAGTGCGCGATGAGGACACTGCAGCATACACGGCTCGCTCTGAGACAATGCATCATTGGCGTAGGGGCGAAGGAGGATAAGGGGAGGAAGGGAAGGGTAGAGAGGGCGAAGATAGGGGGAGGGGCTTTTTCTGTCCATGATGTTCTCTTGCAATCGTCGCTGGCAGCAAAATAACTCTCTGTTCTTGTCCACCCACCCCCCGTATCTGTATGTGTCCAAACCTTAGTGCAGGGAGGGGTCTTGGAAGCAAGGGACAGAGAAGGGAGAGCTTTTGCACTGCTTGTGCTGCCTTTGTTCCTGGTGTATCCCAGCCCCCACCGCAGCCGTTCACTCTTTTTGCACTCACGACAACCCAGGCAGATCTGTTGGGATGACTTTAGGCCTGCTGGCCACGCCATATCCTAATAATATCCCTCTAAACGGCCGCATTGAGTCTCTCCCTCAGGCAGCCACGTTTATCCTGATAATGATGCGGGGGTTGTTTGAAGCATTCAGGTTAAGTTCGTTTTTCCTTGCAGCACAGCCACCAAGCCATGCCAAACTAGCGGTGATGTGTTTTTACAGTGTCCATGGATCTGTTTGGAAGGGCGACCGTGTGGGGAAAGGACATTGGCAGGGGCCACAGATTCTCACAAAGAACAAAAAAGGACTTGGCTTAGAAGCCAAGGCTCTGCCTTAATGTCTTCGAGACCATTGTGAGCTTCATACAATACCTTGACAGTGGCACACCGTGCCCAGTGCTGTTAATGAGCTCCACTGCTCTGTTTCTCCCAGATTTCTGTAGTTTGGTCCCTTGAGGCACTGCAGCATCATTTAGTACGTTTTTTTTTTCTCCACCAGCCTCAGTTGGTATGCACAGAAGAGCTGACAGGCTGCAAGGTGAGGTAGCTGCCCTACTTTTGAGGCCTAGAGTTGCAGGGAGACTCTTTGAAAGGGCAGATGAAGGAGAAAAGCACAAGCATTAGCGTAGAGACCCTTTCTGAATGGTGTATCTGTTGAGCTTGTTTAGTCGGACAAAGACCTTCATAACCCAAAGTCCCATTAGACCAGAACCTCTCTAATCATGCTAAAATGCCAGAGCAAGCCCCAAATCTCATTTGTCTAACCAGGTTAGGAAAGAACTGTTTGGCAGATGTCTGCTGTTGATCTTTGTACAGCCTGTTCTTTCTCTACGAATATCCAAATGATTAAAACTACCACTTACATTTATAGCACAAATCCTTCCTAGACGGCTCAAACCCACCCACCCTGGAAAGATATTAAGTGAAGGGGGGAAATTGAGCCCACACAAAATCCCGATTTCATTTTGATATGGAGAGGTTGATGAAATTGATTAGTGAATTAAAATATGCATCTGGTCTCTTTTTCTATTGCATTCTGGGTGGAATTCCAGCGCATGTTTTTCTCTCTCTCTCTACCGCCTTGTCTGTCTTTCTCTCCAAAGGCATTGGGGAGGAGTGAACTATATGTGCGTGTGGGGGTCTTGGTATTGGGGGTTTGGGTGGGTGATTACTCGTTCAATGAGCTCAGGCCAGGAAAAGAAAGGGGGAAAAAAGGGCCTGACTTCGCTTACAATTTCCATTTGCTTGCATTTTCTATTGAAAGCCAATAGCAGTGTCCTCGCCTGGAGATGGATTGCTGCGCTAGAGCTAAGGTTTAATCAATAGGTCTTTTTAATTTGCCATCGATCTATGTTAAAAGCTACTGCTGCTGTTGCTGTGTGTGTATGTGTGGCGGAGCACATGCGATGAAAGATAGTCTATGCTCAGGATTATTGACATTCTAGCTGGCTATTTCATTATTTAATTCTGGGATAGTTCCTAATGGAGCTGGCTAATAGATTGTGGTTTCTTGTTCTCTTCCATTCTCTTGAATATATTTATAAATGAAAGGTTTAGGGTTGAGCTGTGGAGTGGAAAACCCCCTCGTGTTTTTTCCCCCCTTAATTGGCGCATTAGTCGCTAAAACCCTAGCATTGTTTGTGAGATTAGTAAGTGCAAGGTATTTGCTTCCTGTTAAAGAAACGGCAAAGTCAAGATCTTATCGCTTGGGAATGTGTGTGTGCATGCACGCGTGGGCGTCAGTCTCCTCACAGGAGTGTGGGTTACTTTGTGAGAATGCACGTCTCCCTTTTGCGTATCTCAAGGGCACGCCTGCCAGGACATTTCTAACCGTTTCTGATAAGGGAAAAGAGGACTTGTTGCCACATACTGGGATGTTCTCTTTTGAAATGACACAGCAGTGGAGAGTGGTTATTTCTGTACCGATTTAAAGAGAGAGAGAGAGCATTGCGGTGGGGGAAATCGCAGCATGCCTTTTTAAGAACATCAGCGTCACCACTCAGACTTGAGTTTATTTATCCAGCTCCCAGCCTTTGATAACATTCAGCAGGATCAGCAGGATCAGCAGTCGGGATCCAAAGCACAGTCATTCTGTCCTAGACCAAATTATGTGTATTGCACCAGCATTTCCCCCTGCTAAAAAGACTAGCATAGATAGTCACCACCTTATGTTGTGATTTGGATAGTCATTAGCATGGGATGCTCAAATGCAGATTGTATCCACACCAAGTCTTTCTTGGTCAACCTGCTTTGCCAGAAAGCTTTGGTGTGCCAGCTAGGGATGAGTCAGTGGTCAACTAGTCAGTCAACAACCTTTTATTTTTACCCAATTTTCTTACCCCTGAAGTGGTGCCATTACAGCCATACACATTCAGATGAACACCTTTGGCTGCTCTATCACATCTTGCATTGTTTTTTGAGTCTCGAAAGTGTTGTAATTTCTCAAGACACCTGCATTCTGTTTTAGGCTGTTGTATTCGAGTCAACTAGTTGTTTAGGCAAACCCTATGAAAATTTGATTTTAGAACGGTGTATTTTTGCACATTCTTTTGCCAGTTTAAACTACCCTAACCAGTGTAATTTATCCTGAACCAAAAATTCAATTATTTTTCTTCCTGGTTCTTCAGGTGACCGATTGCGTCAGACAGAGAACAGAGCCACACGCTGCAAAGTGGAGCGACTGCAGTTGCTCATGCAGCAGAAGCGTCTGCGCAGGAAGGCCCGGCGAGACTCCCGCGCCCCGTACCACTGGCTCCCCAACCGCAAGGCTGGACGCAGCAACAGTAACAGCAGTATGTCTAGCGAAGGCTCCCTGGACCTGGACTTTGAAGACTCTGTGTGGAAGCCCGACGTCAAAGCTGATATGAAATCAGAATTCATCATGGCCTGAAGCAACAACGGTTGTGCCATTTTGATCAAGGAAGACTGGGGTTTACACTTTAGAGAGGAGACTTTCTGAAGACTGTGTCCAAAGACGCACATTCAGAATCTCGTAGGCTTCACTCCTCATCTATCCTGTGACCACAAAGACTTTACACAAAGGAAGATTCACAGACTTACCTTACATCCTTGATAGACTATGATCTTGGAATAGACTAAATTTTCAAATGACGATGTTTGGATATGGATTGGACTGATGAATAGACAGAATTTGGACTCAGAATGTCCAAGAAGTAAATACAAATGAGCATAGCAGACGTCATTGGTGTTGGGATTTGTTTTTCTCTTTACTTTTTTTTTTTTCCCAGGGGGAAGATCCATACAGGCCAAATACAGGCACGATGAACTAACAAAAATCAGAAACTGATCCTACTTCCTCCTTTTTTCATTACAAATGGGCATTCACAGTTCAAGAATCATTTGAAGGGGGTTATCTTTGTTTTTAAGTCCTGTTTTTCTTGAATCTTGATGATTTATGAAACAAAATATGTAGCATTACCCACAAAGCATTCAGGTTTTTTATCTTGTAGACGAGGAAGGTTCATTTGCACACACATACCCGTGATTTGAAATAGACAAACAATATCATAACATAACCAAGAGATGGCACAGTGCATGTTTAGTATAAATATATTTCAAAAAAATAATAATAATACAAAAATTGCTTTCTCAACAACAGCTCACAGTAGAGTCAGAGGTTCAAGTAGGAAACTAAAACATGAAACGAAACGAAAATATGCTGATGTGATTGAAGATGCAAGGCTTGTGAAGTAAGTTGTTTTTAGAATATATAAAGAGTGACTTTTCTTTTTTTTTTTTTTTTTTACGTCCGTGTAAACATACAAACCAACCAAACGTAAAACAGCAATTGCTCAGCAAGGCTCGAGTCAAGCTGTGAGATGAATCTGATGTTATATAATCATTTAAATACACACTGTATCTCTCCTGTTACTGTCTAAATGTGTATAATAGAGAGAATGGTGGGGTGCCAGAGGAATAGTTTACAATTGTGCATTATAATGGCTCGCTCTGCCAAAGTGGAATCTCTCATTTATGCATTCGACTAAAACAAACCGCCGTTCAAGGGTTTTATCCCAGCAACAGCTTACAGTTGTGATACAATTTTAACAAGACTACCAATATTTATTTGGCCAGACTTCTTTGCAGATTCCCATGTAAACATCCAGACCGGAGCGTATCCTCCACTCTCGATAGTGCCTCATATGTAGACGCACTGACATATTCTATCAGGCGTTCCACAGACAGACAGTTCTGCTGCTATATGGGACTTCTCTTTGCATGCAAAAGTATGAAATATCCTGATCCTTTTTATAGAAGAAAATAATAATAATAACAATACTGAGATACTGGTGCTGAAAAGAAAATATATACAAGCATGAATTTGTGAAAATGGAAGAAAAAAAAATCGCTTCAGCTACTTGGGATTTTCGAATTCGGAACGTGATGTTACATATCAGTCGCAAACCAAAACAGGACTGGAATTCTACTGTACATGGATCATTCCTGGACTAACTAAGGAACAATGGAACATGTTCTACTCCCAACATCCAAGGGATCCTCAGAGCAAACCCCAACACTCCCATCGGACTAACAGGGATGTTAGCAACCAACGTTCGCCCCTAATGACTTCTTGGAAATAAACGTGAAAATGTCCTGAACCACATTAATGTTGCACTCACTGAGTTTGCAAAGAGATTACCTACCTGAAGGGGAACATTGTCTTTTCCTTTTTTTCTGTTCAAGTGGCCTTAACGTTCATTATCGAAACACTTGCAGAGTGGTGAACAACATAGGGATGTTTTTGTTGTTTTTTGCCCTGTGCTTTTGTTAAAGCATCAATTTTTGGGGGGCAATTTTTGTGTTTAGGAGGTGGAGGCTCTATTATGTCAAGGCTTCAGTGCCTTAAAGTTTTGCCCCTTCGGTGTGTATGGAAAAAAAAATCTGAACAAATTATTCGCATTTATGCAGGTTTTTATCAATTTATAGGAGCTCTGGTAGAATATTGTCTGTTTTATGGTTTGATTGTTACAAGTCACGACCTGGAGTTCAAACAGGTTCCATCAGTGTGTTCCATTGCTTGTTTGATTACGTACCTTGAACCCTGTTGTCCTACAAAGAAGTAACAAATTTACATATATAATTGAAAAAAAAGGAAGTTTCAACTGCAGTGCTATAGCAACAAAGTGCCCTAACTCTCAATTGAGATGTCCTTTAAGGACACACTGACAACATGCACTTCCCTTCTTCTCAGATAAACGACTTCAATGGATGATTTCTCCCTCTCCCCCGAGAAAATCGTTATTTAATTTTTATATATGTATGAAATATACTCTGTGTGTGCCTCACCTATATGTAAAATGGTAAAAAAAAAAAAGTGAAAACTGAAAAAACGCATAGGAGATGATCTGAGTTTTAGGATAGGGTAATTGAATGAGGGTGGAGGGAGGGAATGGGGGGCATTTTCAATAGTTTGTTGGAGTTCCGATCACATCATTTAAGTTGCCTGTTCTTTCTTGTAGCCAATGAAAACTGATTACAAGAGTCGAGAAAAAAAAACAATTTACTATGTTCTAGCTATAGACCGGTGTAGCACATGTGTGACTGTATTAATTTATGAAACCAAAATGGTAACTGTGAATTATGTATTTCTTTGTGCTTTTTTTTTAAAGTGGGCAGAAGGCGGAAAAGGGCGTTGTTGTGCCCTGTTTTGTTTTTGTGGAATATAATGGAAATAATCAAGTAAAAAAAAAGGAAAATATCTAAATATATTTTTTTTCTTAAGCAATACATTTCAGTGTGACTTGTGATAGGACATTTTCTTTTTTTAGGTAATAAATTGAAAGAAAAAATATTTTTTTTATTGTGTACGTGTGACTTATTTACTTTATCCCCTGTGCAATTTGCATGTTATATATACTTTACTATTAAAAGCTATCATAAGAGAGAGATTTGGGCCGCTCTACATAAGCAGCTACTTTAAGTCTCATAAAAATATCATGTTTTGACATTAGCATGTTGTTAAGCTAAAAGCACAATATGCTTAATAAGCATAACAATGCACTGTACACACAAATAACTGGTAAAATCATTTTCAGTAATTTTATCAATACAGTGGGAAAATATTTATTTGATCCTCTGCTGATTTTGTAAGTTTGCCCACTTACATAGAAATGAAGGGTTTGTAATTTTATGGTTTATTTTAACGTATAGAGACAGAATATCAACCAAAAAATCCAGAAAAAAACACATTATATAAAAGTTAGAAATTGATTTACATTTCAGTGAGTGAAATAAGTATTTGATCCCCAAGCAAAACATGTCTTAGTACTTGGTGCAGAAACCCTTGTTGGCTAGCACAGAGGTAAGACTCCTCTTTACAGATCCTCTCTAAATCCTTAAGGTTTCTTGGCTGTCGTTTGGCAACTCGAAGTTTCAGCTCCCTCCACAGATGTTCTATAGGATTGAGGTCTTGAGACTGGCTTGGCCACGCTATGACCTTAATGTGCTTCTTCTTGAGCCACTCCTTTGTTGCCTTGGCGGTATGTTTCGGGTCATTGTCATGCTGGAAGACCCATCTTCAGTGTTCTGGCTGAGGGAAGGAGGTTCTCGTCCAAGATTTTACAGTACATGGCCCCGTC